GAATGAACAGTCAACGAGATTCGTGCGGATACAAACGAGAGCACTATGTACGGTATGAGTGAGTAGAGCAGTAATCCACTTATGATACGATAGCCAATCATGTAGACCTTATTATGAACCAATCGTGTCTGCTTTACGATCAATTGATCATGTTCAATTTTGATCACTGTCAACTCGAGTAACCTGGGAGATGAGTACAAAAGTGCCATTAGCACAACAATCAAACAAGTCAAGTGCACACGACGATTTGGACTTGTTCTCAGCCATACAGTTTCATGCAGCGGTCGACACAGTGCTCGATATCGGTCGAACATCATCGCGCACATCAACCATACGCTAGCAGTCAACGTCATATTGCTGAGCATGTAATAAAGTGGGAATAACCGTACATAGCACTCATAAGTGCTGTCCAACATTGCCGGCAGCGAATACATCAGTAAAGCGCTCACTAGTAAGCCAGAATCTGTGCAGGCAATCCAGAAGAAGTACATATGAATCGTGGGTCGTGATCGTATTTTTAACGGTGTCAGATCATCGGTTCGTGCCCTCGACGCATTTCGCTGACGTCCTTTCGACGATTTGAATAGCGTATAGAGCGTCATGAAATTCAGCGAAACACCAAAGACAACAATTAGACATGTAATTGGTCCTTTCACTATGTAGGTAGCGATTGGGAGGAATTCCATTAAACTCAATGATTCATAATATCCAATGATATTGGCGAGATAGAAATGCGTCCTAACAAAACATTTTCTTGATGCGCATCAGGTGATCTAACGATATGAAGCGTTTGAATTCAGTAGCGCAACCACTGAAACACTGAAACGTGCTCTTGATGAGGACTTCACGTTTAGCAGTCTCAACAGCTCTTAGAACATTCACTCAAACAATCTTTAGCGGTTTCACGGCTCTGTCATGAAGCCGCTGAATGCGTTCAAAGGCAGATTCGTTTAACTCCGCCCCACCAATACGCATATACATACATTATCCACATTAATCTTAATCAGCTATGAGAAGGTTAAGTTATTATGTTTTCACAAGTGGATCGTATATGAAACGCATGCGCATGATCGATATTGCTTTTGTCTTGCTTTGTTTTTCAGCTGCTCAAAAGCCGAATGAATAACTGGATTCTTAGGATTTTGACGGATCGTTTCATTGAAACATTGAAGTATTTTCAATTGTTAATATTCAACGGATCGAATGCATCGTTTTTTCATCAGTTCGACTGGCTGCACTACATCTCCGCTTATTTCCTTTCAATAGATTACAGCAAACTTTTCATGGAAAGCAAAGGTGATGAATAAACTGTAGCTATATGCTCGAATTCAAAAAAGAGCACTGGAAAGTGAGAACATTCTCAGCGGATTCTGTTAGTTCACATTCTGAAACNTGACGAGTTTCAGAAATAATTCTCCAGCGAGTGTCCGCTTATTTTTAGCTGAAGAAGAATTAGTCGACAGAAGAGAACATTTGTTGATGACGATAGTTGATGACGAATATCTATTAGTGAGGATAGGATGACATTCAGAGGGGTTAACGAGAACAACTTGGCTTATCTGCTTTTGTCTTGTCCAATACGGCAACAACTGCATGTGACACACTTCACATGGTATTAACCATAGTATTAACTCAACATTTTGATGTTTGTTGTGTAATTAATATCCGACTCGATACGATGAACTTACACGTTTCTCTGCCGCTTGAATTAGAAAACTGACATCATCCGATCAGTGACAATTTTAACGATGAAAATGTATTATCGTCAATGAAATATCATTATATTTTAGTGCATGACTGCAGTTCGGACAATTAATCATCGCAGATCAAAAACAAACATTGTTCGAGATTGACTACCGTTCATTAACCATTGTCTTCCAAAATGCTTTAGAGCCCTCTGAGTTGTTTCGCAGAAAACCATTTCTATAAAATTCATATGGACACCGCTAATCGATGCGAAAAAATATTCTCTCGGACACAAACTTCCGTTTGCGGTTTTTAAACAGAATGCTGTCAAGTCATTTGGAGTGAGCTCGTTAACAGTTATCAAGCAAGAGCCTACAAATTGAGGATATGTGCACCAGTCCGTAAGTGCCGACCGCTCAAGAGAAAACTTAATCTGAAAAATTAATCAAATTTCATTGAAAGTCTACGCTTGATTCGTTTGATTCATATCGTGTACAAAACGAGGAATGTATTCATCATTAAGTAACAGATAATGAGGTTGTCGGGCATTAAACCCTTCCTTCTAACTCCGCACTTCGTACAAATCGAGAGAGAGATCGATGAATTTTTGCGGTTCACTTAGCTGCACCCATGTATATGTTCATACCTTGTTTGGTGCAAAGTAATCTTCCTCATCTGACCTCGCCTGCAACCGCCGTAAGAAGAAATTGATTTGAATCCTCCTATAGCTGAACTAAACCTACGAACAAAATGAACGGTGCCACTAGCAACAACATTAGAAATCCAAATAAAGTTTATTTCATTGTTCAAAGAAAGCGAACAATTTTGTATCACAAAAATTTCATGACGTTGTCCTAGAAGAGACAAAAATTGGTTTCACGTCGTTCGTTGTCATGAACCTGCCGAAAGCTGACCGAACCGTTTTTAATAACTGATGACGAAAATCGTCGCGATATCTGATGTAAATGGGAAGATTCAAAATCGATCGAACCGAATATAATGAGTAGAGCATGCCTGAAGTGCAAACAGACGATAATGACTAGGTGCGATGCAAGGCGATCAATTAACGAGCACTTTGATGTCGACAAAGTAGCTCATGAGGCTTCGCCAACCGAGATGGTCGAGCGAAAATCGCGATGAACTCAACCGATCTTATGAATCGGGTGAAGGAAATTCACTGCGGTGAGCGATGATGAGAAAAACCATGAAGAAAAAAGTATTAACCGCGGACTGTAGTCGGAGTTCGTAGGATCCTCCATTCGTTGAAAACGACCGCGAAATGAGGTATCGCCACCAGGAGAACCGATACGACAACTATCATAAATCGTAACTCTTGACGACGAATTTCGATCTGCGACATCTGAATCAGATATTGAACGCTTTGCGGTTTTCAATCCCGTTTAATGAGTGCATCGAATGAGAAGATTTTCGCTTGACAAATCAAACTACCTGCATAGGCAAAGGACAACAATTAATGAATATTAAAGTTACTTGCATGAGATGAAAGCCTGTCAACTGCAAACGAATACTTGAATAATTCAGGCAGAAAAGAGAATAAGATGCGAACGAAGAAGAAATACGAAACTAAAATGAAAATTAAGCACATTCTTGCGAACATTTTCTGCATGATTCATGAAAATTTTATTCAATTTCGCAGATTCACACGAATATATTCAGTATTTTCTAGCGGATGAGCGTTAGAATTTATTTTTTAAATGGTAATATAAGCGACTAAGTTGACGTAGGCAACAAACTTGACTTTGATGTGACATAATGATGACAGTGGTAACGATTGCAAAACTGAAGAAATAAATTGCCGAGACAAGTGCATAATGAATGGTACCGTAGACGATACCAGTTGAACCATAAACAGAGCAGAGTGCATTCGGATCAATTCGCTTGGTGCGGGTTGCAGACATGAACGCTAGCCAGACACCTATCTGAAAGACGCTTTAGCCAAGTCAACGAGCTGTTCTTTTGAGCGTGACGACGATTCGAGAAGAAAAAACTTCACGAAGGGACATAAAAAAATGCAATGGAGCTGAACAAATGGAGTAAATGTTTCNAATAATAAGATAAAAAATTGCGTTCATGTGCTGGTTTAAACAATTCGCGAATCGGAACCTTGAGATGACGATCACGAAATCGAAACTGTCAGTGTTTTAGGCCTTCAAAGTGTTCCACGAAACAATGCTAGCGTTCTCTACTCTATCGTGAATCGTCTATGACGGACGACATTTGAAAGATCATTTCGTTGCACAGCACGCACGAATGAAGTAAGCTTTTTGAGCACGACGTAAAAACTGCACTGTTTCTTTCAAAAAAAAAAAGCAGCCGAATCGAACATTTTGCACTACGTTAGAAGCGTAGAGGCTTCGTGAAAGTGACGAATAGGGAAAGGCATAATTCAACCCAATCGAAGACTTGTACTAACCAAACATAGGAAACATGCCAGCAGCCCAAGAAAAATTTTATGTCCAGGACCCCACTTGATTCTGTACATCGAAAACCATTTGAGTGCCAGCAGACTCTCAATGGCCAACATCAAATTGAGCAGTGCAGGAAGTTGTCCTGAAATTGCACCGTATTGAAAACTGGATTATTATTCACAAAATTTTTAGAACGCAACAACCTTTTTCAGAGTTCCTATACTGAAACATTATTAAAATTCCGATGCTTGATAATGAGAACTTTCAAATATTCCAAATAATTAAAACTAATCTACACAGCGTTTGGATAAATCTCATCTTCCGTACGATTTATTCTTTAATTGAGATAAGATTTGATGTGTACATCCGGATGATTAGAAGAAATGGGAGCTTGATTTTTTTTTTCTTAGCAGCGATTAAGATTTCATTGCAATCGGCATGCAAAAAACACTGAAATGATATGCATTAAAATCACTGGATTGAAGAGAAGATTATTGCTAAAGGTTCTTAAGACGTGCTTATTAAGAATGTTTACATTCCCTATATTTAGGAAGTAACGTTATGGGTTAAAAATTGCTTCAGCTAGATTATTCAAGGATAAGAAGGTCGTCAATGTGAATGATTAGCGATCAATTCTTGAACATTTTCCTCGCCTACACAATCATCATACGCAATATTCAAACAGTAAGAATACTTGCAAATTGCTCTATAGTTTCACAAAAAATTCTTTTTTTATTGCAGAGTTTCTTTCGCCTTGATATTTGCAAACGTTCAATCACTTTAACTGTCTCATCTGGACAAGAACGAATCGTGGATTAATTCAAGAACTTCTTCAGAACCGTATCATTTTACCAATGCATTTCTTCCAACTATAGTAATAATTATATGAATTTTGATGCGCTTGATCAGCACTACTGTACATAAATGCAGCATGTTCTAAATAAACTTTCAATGCTTCATCTGATTAAGCATGCATGCGCAAAACGGGCATGAGTTGTACACGGTAGATCAAAAAAAAGCACGGCGGTTTCAAGTTGTCACAAAACGGTATAATTAATTAGCAAAACCTTTTTCTTTTGCAATGTGCCACTTCCACACTAAGCGAGATTTCAGCCAGCCCCTAATGTGACTGCAAAAATAGCACAATCATGATCAATGTAAAAGACGATAGCATGTGACGCCGAAAGGGATCTACAGAGTGAATCAAAAAGAGCACGGCGGTTTCAAGATGTCACAAAACGGCACCAAAATGTATAATTAATTAGCAAAACTTTTCTTCTTTTGCAAATATTCATATTATGAGGTTTTGACATGTTGTGTTATCAAAAGTAAGTCAACGCTTGCTTAAAAAATATTCGTTAATTTCTTCATGGTTCAATTCACGACCTTCGAAATTTTCAATTTTCAGCTTTTTTTCACGAGATTTTAGGTTTTTTTCACTTTTTAAAAGATTTTTTACGACATTACAGACTGATCAGATGGTGAGGAGATATAATATGACTACCTTTGAAATGATTCTCATGTTTTGTATTGTCTATATAACCTGTTCAGTTCAGTAATAGATTTATAAT